GGGCCGTCAGCGTTCCGCCGTCGGTGTCGCAGCATCGCGAGCGCTCGCTGGGCTCGGCCTCCAAAGACTGTCCCTACTGCGGCAAGTCCTTCCGCACCTCGCATCACCTCAAGGTCCACCTGCGCATACACACAGGTCAGTAGAACACCTTGAAATGGCATCAAAAATCAGGAAAAGTGGTCGATCAGTCTCAAGTCTTGACACTCATGTTTCAAGCAAGTCCCAAGTTCGTGTGATCAGTCAGGCTGAGTCTTGATGAAATTTTGTTGAGTCGAGTCATGAAGCCACATTTAAGCTGGTTGAAGTAGCCATTTTGGACTCTGTGTGTGTGTGTGTGTTTGTGCTTGCGTTCGTCAATTGGACTAACACATTGCCACGGTTTTGAATTGCCCCAAGCCAGTTTTCGCATTGTCTTTTCCTTTGTCTTCTCAATGAAAGGCATCGCCGACATTCAACTTAGTTGATGTTTGACCGGTCGGTGGTGAGCTCAACTGTGAAGTTCAGGTCGTTTCGCTTTCTTTTCGGGTTTTGTCGCGACGGATGTGAAGGCAGTTGGTTTGTTGGGGTCTTTGTGTCTCTTATTGTTGGGTTGCTCACCATGCATGTTGACTTCCTTTTTTTCACGTTTTTTTATCAAAAACATGAAACAGTGGACCCTCGCAACCCGCAGATCCACCTACTTGCGGCATAAAAACAATTTCTAATTGAAAAATATGGGGGGGGGGGGGCACAACCCCAGTTTTGACGCAAAAGGCTTTTTGATTATTTATCTCCACTTATTCAGGAATTTGGGGAGATTTAAAAAAAAAAAATTCCAATGCATTTATAACTTGCGTCAATTATTGGCAGATATTCGCGATTCCCAGGGAGGCGCAGTCTCTCTCTGCTGAGAATAGGAATGGCTTACCGTACTTGAATCCAAGTGTCAACCTTGCTTCCTCCGTCACACCCGACGTGAAAATGCATTCCTGTTTTTTGTTTTTGGCCCCCTCCCTCCCTAAAAAAAAAAAAAAAAAAAAAGCTGAATGGTCTCCCGTTTTATTGTGAGTGACCTGCTGACTTGACTCTTTCCATTCTGTCGACTTGCGGCACACACAAAAAAAAAACTCATTGTGCGGCGGTAGCGGCAGCCATCTTTTATCAAATCATCGCAAACATTTTTATTCATTAGATAATGTCGGTGAGTCCACACAAACAACTCGAGATGGGACGTGAGCATTTTCATTTCTATTTGATAATTACAACAACAACAAAAAAAAAATAATGATAAAGGAAGGGCAGCCCGGTCGTCGAGTGGTTAGTGCATCGACCTCACAGTGCCTGCGTGGGTTTGCTCCGGGTACTCCGATTTCCTCCCACATTCCAAAAACATGCTTGGCGGGCTGATTGAACACTCCAAATTGTCCCGCGGTGTGAGTGAGCGTGGATGGTTGATCGTCTGTGCTTGCCCTGCGATGGGCAGGCAAGCGGTTCAGGGTGTCCCCCGCCTACTGCCTACTGGCAGAAGACGGATGGCATGGGCTCCAGCACGCCCCGTGACCCTTGTGAGGATAAAGCGGTTCAGAAAATGGAAATGGTAAAGCTCGCTTTTCACCTATATTGTGTCCCTTTTTAACTGACGGAAATATGTGCCAGAACAACATGTGATCGCTGAAAATGTCAAATATATCCAATGTACTGTACATTTCAAATCATCGTACTTGGACGTCAACTCACTTTTAATTGAACTCAAAACAGAATGAACTGTATTTATTTCTTTTTTAATCAAAGTTGAACCAAACCGTATGTTAACCAGGTCCATTAGCTACAAGCTAGCATGTGATGGGAAGGGCTTCATGAAGTTTAACGGGCTGCAGCAAGCGAATCTTTTTGGAATCGAGTATACTACCGATGATCCCACGGAGTGTTTGGATGAAAATTGATTTGTCATTCTTGAACACAATACATACAACGATCATCTCCACCTGGCATTGCCGTCCTCACATGGTACCGTAGTATCTGTGACTCGTGAGGCTGAGTGATGTTAAAGTGTGGGGCCTGGCCTGGTGAGTGACGTGGGTGTCAGTGAATTAGAGTGTGGAGTTGGCCGGCTATGCAGCGGCTAACCCGCGAGCCGGTCTGCGGGGTGACGGGTGGCAATTGTGGACATGGC